TAAGCGTTAACACGATCAATAAGATTCGATCAGCGTCATTTTAATTAACACGATCTTCGCAAAGAAAACGAAAGCATCCATGACGAAAAAAAGAAACTGGTTCAACTTATGTTACTATACACCTATTCAAAAGTTGGACACTTTCCGGGTTATCGTGGAGACATTTTGTTGAAATATGGAGTTTAGGAATTTTGCAATTTGAGAATATAAGGAATTTAGAAATTTAAAGACTTAGATGTTTGAAGATTTTTAATATTGGAAAATTGACAAATTTAAAGGTCAAAAGTTGAAAATTTCGAATATGTGAGAATTTCAAATTTGAAAAATTTAAAGTTTGTATATTTTATAATTTGAAAATTTTGTGGATTTAAAAATTTGGGAATTTAAGGAACTTGAAAAAATTATAAAATTTGTCAATTTTGAAATATAAAAACTACCAAATTTTAAAATGTGTTAGTGTGAAAACTTTCTTCATCAATTTTAATTTCTACACCAGAAAATTTGGAAGTTCTCCAAATTGATAATATTTTTCATGTTATTCTGTTGCGTCAGACAATCATTACGGTCGTGAAATATCTACCGATAATCTATATCGCTATTTATCGACATTTATCTATATAAATATCTATATCGCTCGTATTTTTAAATCGTATTATTATCAAAGTTCCTATCTTGCAGTCAAACTAAAGACTTGAACACAATTCTAGTATCTACACTCCAGTTATTTGAACCAATCAGCGGTACTTGTACCGTGCAACCTTTCCCAAGCGATTCGACAAGCAACAAAGTCGCTCACCGCTGCTCTCATTTTCGCTAGCAGAACCACAGAAGAAAGGAAAGAAGCAAAAAAAAAAAAATGGGAACCTGTCGTACCATAACAGCAACCCAATCTAGCTTAGCCAGGTCCCAAGTCGCTCCAGTTTGCGCAACAGCAACAATGTTGGTAGCCCGTATGGAACGGTGACTTGTCCAGGAGGGAATGTTTAATCGTATTCACGGTAATTAATATTCATCTTTGCCAGTTAATATTCAACCTTGCACAACCGGGAATGTCCAATCGCCGAGCGATTTTCAGACAGCCGCCGCTCGTTCAGTTGTCCCGTTAAGAAATTGCATTTGTATTCTATCGAACGGTCCAATCTCCCTTTGAACGACTGTCGACGATCGCGTAACAGCCATTTCGTTTCTCGATTCATGAACCCGCGACCCGACACTAAACGATTTACTATTAGACACACCGTCATTGACATAACCACTCGCTACAGGATGAGCTGTGGCATTCAATCTTTTTTGGGCCATATACAGCAGGATTATTAAACAGAAATTTTATGCAGGTTTTTATTAAAGGAAAGAGAATGTTTTTAATGTTATAACAAAGGTATGAACGAGCTGCAGTTGTCGAAGTCATCCCTTTGTTTAAGTTGGACTGTGTTGATAGTTACACTAGTAACTACTGCAACTATGTTGGTCAGAAAAATGCACGTTAACAGTTTATTTTGGAAATTGAACAAGTCTATTGTTTGTTATTGACCAGATAAGGACTTGCGTTTTAAGAAAAGGGAAAATATTGATTAGTATTAAGAGACAAATTTTTGTATTTTGTGGTGTTGCATGATGTGTATTTATTATTTAATAGTATTTAGAGAAGGTGGTAAAAAACGCTTTTATATAATATTTTTATTGTTTCCGTAGGTAGGTAGTATAATCATAACACATAAACATAACACGTGAATATACATATGAACATGACACATAAACATGACACATAAATATGACACATGAACATAACACATGAACACAACACATGAACATAACACATGTATATAACACATGAACATAACACATGAACATAACACATGAACATAACACATGAACATAACACATGAACATAACACATGAACATAACACATGAACATAACACATGAACATAACACATGAACATAACACATGAACATAACACATGAACATAACACATGAACATAACACATGAACATAACACATGAACATAACACATGAACATAACACATGAACATAACACATGAACATAACACATGAACATAACACATGAACATAACACATGAACATAACACATGAACATAACACATGAACATAACACATGAACATAACACATGAACATAACACATGAACATAACACATGAACATAACACATGAACATAACACATGAACATAACACATGAACATAACACATGAACATAACACATGAACATAACACATGAACATAACACATGAACATAACACATGAACATAACACATGAACATAACACATGAACATAACACATGAACATAACACATGAACATAACACATGAACATAACACATGAACACAACACATGAACATACCACATGATCATAACACACAAACATACCACATGAACATAACGCATGTATACATGTTAAGTCATGTTTCCAAATACCATAGTTTTATTTTTAATAATCTATGATTACCTAAAACATGCTGTATAATTGCAAATGTACTATGCATACTGAACGGTGCTGTTTCCGCAACGAAACAAAATTGCGAAACGAGTAATCGAGAGAAGCTAATTTATTACTCGAAAAATCGTTAATGTGCAGTCTATAAATAAACGAATGGAAGAGTAAGTTGACTCCGGCGCAAAAACGGATTTTCCACGTCGCGTTGCAACAATCGGACGACACGTTTTATGGCAACGAAAGTCGCGGCTAGACACTCTATAATCACCGGTTAGCCAGCCACTTATTAATCCGTCGATAAATAATGCTCAGTCGTAGAAAGCTGTATGCCGGCAGGAGGTTTCGAATTAGGCTAATGACGATCGCGATAAGAATTCTAGCTCGTCACCGTTGTGAGGAGCTTTGCCCTATTAACGTTATGCATTGGCGTAACCAGGATTTGTCATGTGGACTCTGAGTTTATCCAAAGTATTTTTGGTCCTTGAGAATTCATTCAGTTTTTAATTCCAGCTGCGGACTAATTTATTCACTCTGTCATAGTCGCTAACGATAACGATCGTAAGCATTTCCAAAGGTAGAATTTTCTTTGTAAAGGCTTGTCGTGTACGCCTGAGGCGTTAAACACGATTACCTTATCGACATACAAGGGAAGAACCTTTCGATCGGGAGAATCGATCGCAGGAATCGATCGAGTATACTTATTTACGTATACATGCCTATCGTCCTTGTCCGGCAGGATGGAGAGGACCTTTGCCATGAGGACGCTCCCACTCACGATGAGGAATCTTTGCAACATTCCCGATGATAACTCTATATCGTTTAATATTTAAAACAGATAACGCGCATCGCTGATGGCAATAAACGATACTTTATCCCTCGCGAATAGTTTGACGTTGAATATTCTTTATTTACAATTCATCTGGAAATTACGAATGTAACAACACGCTTGTGACGTTTATTGCGACATTTTGTAAGTTTAAGAATTTTATTTTACGGTTCGTTATTTCTCGAATAGTTTGTTCAATGGTTCAGAAGGATTACTACAACTCTGCAAAACTAATTTCTGTCATAACAAAATAGAAACGCAAACTTGAGTGATACATTGTATGTTAGGGATTACGTATGCATGATTTATAATAGATACCATCTAGATCGTAAACTATGCGAAATAAGATTTCATAGAGCATTAGTAAACAATGACGCAACATTAATATACGACATGATTCGTGGAATAATTCAAAACTATTTAAGACAGGGATATTCAACTGCAGCGGTGATCAGGAGAAAGTTTAAAATGTTAACGACGTGAGAAATGACCATAATTTTATTAAATAGAACTGTATTTTATAAAAGTAATAAGTTTTACCAATATAGATGTGAAGTAGAGAGAAGCAAGAAATTCAAATGTAAGGAAAGGAAATTATATGTCTTATTGAAAAGAAGATCATGCACTTAGTGCATTTATTGAATTTTAGAAATTGTGGTAAATGAAAATTTGAGGGGCAGATTTGGGGATTTTAGAACTTGGGGTCATATAGATACGGGAATCTAGGGATTTGGTGATTTAGAAATTTGGTGTTCTGGGAATTTGGAAATACAGGGATTTAGAGATCTACGAATTTGGAACTTAGCAAGTTGGAGACTTTCAGATTTGGGGATCCAGGGATATCTAAGTTTGCAGGTTTGGAAATTTCAGAATTTGTGAATTTAGAGATTTTACTATTTGGGGATTTGGATCTAGAAATTTGGGCATACAGGAATTTAGAGGCCCACGAATTTGAAACTTAGCAAGTTGGGAACTTTCGGATTTTGGGATCTAGGAATATCTAGGTTTGCAAGTTTGGAAATTTCAGAATTTGTAAATTTAGAGATTTTATTATTTAGGGATATGGAGGATAAATATATGCCTAGAAATTTAGGCATATATTTAGAGGCATAGGAATTTAGGATCTAGTAAGTTGTAAAACTTCAGATTTGACTAGGAATTTGTGAACCCTGGAACTCGTCAGTTTAGGAATTTACCTAGGAATTTGTGATTCCAGGGATTTGAAGATTTGAACATTCAGGTATTCAGGAATAAGATGAATTCAAAAATTTGAGAAATTGGAGATTTCGAATTTTCATAATCTGGTAAATTTGAGAATTTGTATATTTTAATATTTGCGAACTCAAGAAATTTGCGAATGTAAAAATTAAACGATTCGAGAACTTTGAGATGTTGCTACTTGAAAACATGGAATATTGAAAATTTAGAGAATCTGTAAATTTGTGAATTTATAAATTTAGTGATAAATACAGGTATTTGAATTATGTGGAATACATTGCACGTAATATGGATGTATGCATATCCGCAACATCCATTGGTTGCACATTCGTGTTAATACTATCTAATATTACTATGTACGTGCCATATTTTTACTACTATAAACGCACTATATTATTGTACTACTGTATATTACATAGTATTATGTAAATATTGTTATTGTATATATGATAGATGTAAGTACAATCAGGTTTAATTTGCGTTCTTAATTTATTATTTTACAGAACATGGCTTAAAGAGAGCTTAAGGAATCAACAGGAGACCAAAAAATTGTGATAGCAGAGATAGTAAAAAGTTTCAAAGCTACTTATGGACACAAGTACAATGGATCAAGAGCCACCAGACGATGTTAATGAAATTGCTAGTGATTACAACACAGTCACATAGTGATAACGCTTATCTCGAGCTACTATTTACAAAAATGGTACTAGCATCGCAAAATGGGTTCCATGTATTAATTGATTTCAGAGATTTCGGAGACATGAAGGGTGTGGTATATCAGGTGCGTCATTAGACGACTAATATAATACAATACAAATAACTAAAAATGCAAGGAATTTGTTCGCTTGTCTTTTCTACGAAAACAAATATTCATTTTTCATCACAATGATAAAGCATTTAAGACTTATTTATAACTTTCCTAAATGTACCATAGTAGCTATTTTCTCAACTCGCCGCATTCAACATTTTTTACATCGAAACTTGTGCATATTAAATTAACATACGAATATTAACATTGACGAGTCTTCACGTTTATTTCATTAAAAAAATCATATTTTCGATTTAGGTCGATCCATATTAGATACAGTTACATTTTGATAAATAAGAGAGAAACAACGGGAGAAAGAAGCAGAGGAAAACTAAAAGCGCGGTAACTTATTTACCAAGGCAATATATCCGTTTCGCGATAGAAATTGCGACAACCAATGGATGATCGGTCAGACAGACTAGTACCAGACTATCCTTGGAGCAGAATAAGAATACTTTCTCCTCGAGCTATGCCTTTCTCACGGTATTAAAGCCGGGGGATCTCGGTCCTGCGCAGGACACTCGTACGATCCAGGCCAGCCGAGGCTCGAAAATAGTTTTGTAATTGAATTTAAATTGAATCGAGCCCGCCGGCATCTCTCGCACACATCCTGCGTTGCGAAAGTGTGCTACGATGGACGGATAGACGAGCGATTCGATCGAGAACCGTTCGTTTCGAGCTGTACCACCGAGCAAGTAAGTAAAAGTGAGTAACGGTGGTTGTTGCTTACTTCTGTCGTGTGCTCGCGGGACTGCGATTACACGTCTGCTACTATTGTATGTAGTTTGTTTCAGCAAGAGTAAGTGGATCGGTTTCTTTCATTTCTTCGCGGATAAACCGGCTCGTACCGCGGGATGCTTGCGCGACTGCTTTTCGAACGAGGCGACGAAATCGTGTCGAAGAAATGAAAAACGATTCGAACTTCTTCGTCGAGTTATAAATATCTAGGACGATAGAACAGGATCATTTCACCGATTCCGGGAGATCGAAAAATTTCTAGTACACGGTGAAACGTGTAGCCAACTACAAATCTTTATCTGGAGAAAAGGTAATCGAGGTTCTGCGATTTGTTTTGATTTTTATGGATTTTGGGGACTTCACTGTTTGGAGATCGATTTTTGGGGATTTTCAATTTGGGAGTATAGATATTTAGATTTCTTGTGATTTGAGGATGTAGGAACATCGAAATATAGGGATTTGAGGATCTAGAGAATCTAGAGGATTCAGAAGATCTCACTGAATTAATTTAATAAGTATGGAAAATCAAAAAATTAGTTGTGGAGATATAACTTAGAGAATAATTCTAAGTTAAAATTTGAAAAGTGTCTTTTGACACCTCTTGCTAGAAATAGTGTCAAGAGTGGTAAAATCCTTGAATTTTTAAATCCAGCGATACAAAATCTAGAATTAGAGCATTAACATACAAATCCAGGTATTTGTGGATTTAGAAATTTCGAGATCGAGATATTTTGAAAAAAAAATCTGAAAGCATAATGGATGATCTACAGATTTATAAAAATCACAAACCTAAATATTTATTTTTATATTCATTACAAACTCGAAAGTCTAATTTCTTCACACCATAATTTTACTCAATTCCATCCATGATTCGCTAAAAATAGAGTTTCGTTATTTGATCATTAAATTAAACGTTTAGGACGCAGTATCGTAGCAATTTATTTCGTTATTACATCCAGATCTCTCATCAAACATCGCGGCTGAACCATTAATCTTGCGAAACGAAGGAGAATTATTTTCCAGCTCTCTCGATCTCCAAAGAAATATAGGATTGATAACAGCGGTGTCTGGAGATGAGCGCAACCGTGCTTTCGAAAGATACTAGCGCGCACGTGATGCGTGCCTACATACGTTTCAGCTTGACTTCGCAGACAAATGGATAGAATAGGATAGGATAGACAGGATACAGTATGTATTCTGTTCTGGAATCTGCTCTCGACACTGTTGTGGGTGAGAGTCAGAAAACTAGGACTTGCGTACTCGCTAAGAATGCGAATCTAACGGGTGAGACATGTTTTAGTGGCCGAGCACGTTCACTTTACATTCATGCGTGAAGCTGCTTCCGCGCTGTGTTTATAATCGTGAAATATCTTTCTATCCTTCTGATATGACTTCGAGTATTCTTGTTATATAGGGGGTTTTATGGTGGTATTATCGCAAATTGCTTTTGTGAGAGCAAATATGTATAATTTTTTATGTGCCTGAATTCTTATCACTTCAAATTTATAAATTGGTGGATAGTTTAATTATCACATATTCTCTTATTAGAGAAGTTTCAGTTATTACTGAATTCGTAAATTGATCAATGTTTAAATTTCTAAATTCTCAGATATCTAATTATTCAAATATTTAAATTTACAAATTTCTGAATTCCCAAATCGTTCAATTTTCAAGCTTCTAAATTCCTAAATTACCAAAACGTTTAATTTTCAAGTTTGCAAATTCCTGAATTCTCAAATCATTTACTTTTCAAATTTCCAAATTTCTGAATTTCAAATCGTTTAGTTTTTAAGTTCATAATTCTCAAATTCATTAATTACCACAAATAAATTCTCAAATTTTTTAATTTTCAAATACTTAAATACACAAATTTTCAAATTCCGATATAGCCAAGTGCCATTTCAAAATCCCTAAATTATTACATTTCCAAATTCCTAAATCCCTAAATCCACAAATTTTTAATTTCCCAAACCCTCATATTACCAAATTCCTATATTCCCAAATCGCTGAATGTCCAAATCCTTAAATTACCAAAAACATAAGTTTCCAAACCCCTAATATCTTAAATCCTTAAATATTCAAATTACTAATTTCCCAAATCCCTAAATCCTCAAATCCTTAAATCCTCAAAATCCTAAATCCCCAAATCCACAAATTTCCAAATCCCCAAATCTCTAAATCGCCAAATCCTCAAACCCCTAAATCCCCAAACCACTAAATTACTGAATCTCTATATTCATAAATCTCTGTATTCCCAAATCCCTAAATTATCGAATACATAATTTCCCAAATCTCTAATACCCTAAATTCTTAAATTACTAGTTTTCCAAACCTCTAAATTCCTACTTTCCCAAATTCCTCAAATCTCAAAATCCTAATATCTCAAATCTCGAAACTGTCAATTTCTAAATTCTCAAACCCCTAAATATGCAAGTCCCAAAATTCTCGAATCTCTCATCCAAAAATCCCTAAATCTCCAAAATATTTATCTAAATGTTACTCATCGCAAAATTATCCTAGATACTTTCCAATTTATAATTACATTCTTGAAATTTACCCAATACAAAAAAACTTTCTTCTAATGTCAGAAAAGCGTTATCCTCATTTCTATGTTTAAGTGTGGTAGTCAAGAAAACAAGACGACCGCGTGTCGACAAACAAGAACCTCGCATTTTTTCCTCAGTACATTTCCCTCAACTTTTTTCCCCGTTTTCTCAGTCGGTGATTTGTTTCGCACATTTTCATGCAACGCTTTTTCTGTATCAGCGCATATTAGTTCCGTTAGAAAGTGAATGTCAAAGGTTCGCGTTACGTTTCAAAGCAAAAGTCGAGATAAGAAACGGCGGCCTCGACTTGTTACACTTTTTCTTTCTTCCCTTCTCCCGGCTGCTCGCATTTACATTTAATGTAATGACTGTTTGTACGAAATTAATGGAGTTTTAATTTACGTGGAACGATTACCGTAATTATAGCGGTCGAGCAACCACTCTGTCGTGTCGAGTTGATGCATAAGTCCGCGTCATGTTGTTTTTCTATTAAAACGATTTATTTTTCATGGATGAAAGTTTGTAATTAATCAGTCATGTATTCTCTTGTAGTCTCTATGGTCTTTTCTAAGCTGTGATCTTTTCTGTGATTTTTTCAGATGACTTTTCGGGTGCTTGGTTCGCTGACTTTTATGGGGAAAATGGTGATGGAAAAATGGGGAAAGAAGTTTTACCGATGGAAGTAATTCTTTGGTGGATAATGAATCTTACCTATTTGTGGATGTAGTGATTTGTGGGCGTAGCGATTTGGAGATGTAGGCATTTGGGGATGTAGCGATTTGGGTGCGTTCAAATTTGAGAATATAGGAATTTGAGAATGGAGGGATTCGAGAATGTAGGGATTTGGGAATGGAGAGATTTAGGAATGTACCAATTGGAGGACGCAGCGAATGTCGGGATGTAGGATTTTGGGGATATAGCAATTTGAGGATGTAGCAATTTGTGAATATAGTGATTTGGGTGCGTACAAATTTGGGAATATAGGAATTTGAGAATGTAGGTATTTGGAAATGGAGGGATTTAAGAATTTACCGATTTGAGGACGTAGCGATTTGGGGATGTACCGATTTGAAGATGTAGAAATTTAGGGATATAGCGATTTGCATCTGAAGAAATGTGGGTATGTGAGAGTTTTGGAATAAAGGGATTTGGGAATAAAGGAATTTTTCTATTCTGACCAATTGGAGTCATAGCTATTTGGATACGTAGCGATTTGGGAATGTACCGATTTGGAGATATAGCAATTTATAGCTGAAGCTATTTAGATATATATTATTGTTAATTTGAGCTTCTTAGTCCACAGGCCCCTCCATCGTACTTAAGCTTTATATATAACTCATACTTGCAGGTGTTTGAAATATCAAAGAACAATGTATGGTCAACCAGCCAGAAGAGACCTCATCACTTAGCTTTATTGCTGCGGAAGGAATGTTGCTCTTTATATATTTATTAATATATAAATAATTTATATTCTCATTAATTCTATCGAATTAGTAATCCCTCAATAGAGTCTTGAAGAGAGCCGAAGTAATTTGGGCACGGAAAAATTTGGGAATGGAGGGATTTTTCTATTCTGACCAATTGTACCGCAGCTCTTCTAAACACCTGTATCAGTCTCTTCTCGCACCAACTCATAGGTTGACATCGGTACTTAATTAATCATCTCAAATATGTATCAGAGA